CACCACCGTCGTCATCATCGACATCACCACCGTCACAATGATTGCGTAAACCACGTCACGAAACACCAACAGTCGGTCGGTCGTTCTCCGCCATGGACCCGCACGGCCGTCCACCCCCCCCCCCCACCACAGGAATGTGGAATTTCCACCACAGGTTCAGGACGGCTGTAAACACGAAACAAAGCAGCGCTGCCCCCCCCCCCCCCTCCCCCCCTAGTGGCGTTGATCTGTGAAGAAAATCAATCGAGGCAGCCTCCCGGCACGAGACGAACGGGCGGCACAGCACCCCAGGTGCGTCACAGGGCGGTGACGCGATGCAAGTTGACGCACCACCCTGCCTACCGAAGGCTGGAAACCCCCCCCGAGTGCCCCACATCCCACCCCCCGCCCATCCCCCTCCACGAACAAGGCACGCCGAGCGTGACGACGAGGCCGATGATCGGATTTCACCCGGGCCCTCTGGCCCAGCGGCATCTCCCGTCCAGCGGCACACGTGTGAACAGAGTTGACACTCCCCCCCCCCCCCCCATCACATCGCAGCTCGGCGCGACTTTCCCTGGCCTACGATCGCCCAGGCGCCGGTCGACGCGTGCCGCCAGTGAACGCGGCCACCCCACCACGCTCCACAGGCACCCAGGGTGGACACTGATTGGGTTTGCGTGACCTCTACACCCCCCCCCCCCCCCATCACCGTAGCCACTAGAGGCCGCGTGAAGTTGTAAATCTGTGGTAGACACGAGTTCACGCAGAGACCCATGGACTGGCATAGAGACCCATAGACTAACTCAGAGATGTACAGAAATGCACAGACTCACGTAGAGATTCATAGAGACACGTATACACAGAGAGATTCATAGAGACCCGTAGGTACACACAGACACTCGCGTGACCCCTATGTTCTCCACGCGTACAGGAAGAGGAGCCTGCACCTGCTGCCGTGGGTCCAGTTCGGGTCCGAAGCGAGGCACTGTCGCCCCAACAGCCACTTGGCCAGTGTTGGATACCGGCGGTCACGTCTCCCTCGTCTCTAGCGACCTCTAGTGGCTGGTGGCAGTGGTGGAAGCGGGTCGTGCGAAAACGTAAAAAAAAGCACGGCCCGAGCTACGAATTGCGAGCCGAGGAATCGAGGACTTCTGATTGGTCGATCGATCGGTCGATGGCCGTCGTCACGTGCAGGCGCACGCGACACGCCCCCGCGACTCGTCACAGCAGCCACGTGGCGGGGCACCGCGCACGTGGACGAGGAACCGCTCGGCGCTGACCAACGCGGGGCGGTGCCCGCCCACACAGCCACCCCCAGGGCCCACACAGCCACACCCAGGGCCCACGCAGCCACACCCAAGGCCCACACAGCCACACCCAGGGCCCACGCAGCCACACCCAGGGCCCACGCAGCCACACCCAGGGCCCACACAGCCACATCCAGGGCCCACCCAGCCACCCCCAGGGCCCACACAGCCACACCCAGGGCCCACGCAGCCACACCCAGGGCCCACGCAGCCACACCCAGGGCCCACCCTGCTATAATAATAATAAAACATTCCGCGGAGTATCCCACTGGATTTTGATTGAAAAGTGTTGGTTTTTTAATTGTTGTCTTCTTGATTTTTACCTCCCACACGCCGTTCGTTTGTTTTGATTCAAAAGAAGAAAAAAAACTGTCCGCCTCCCATCACGACTGACGGGTGTCCCGTGCCCTCTGACCTCTTACACTGGGGAGGGGGGCCGCTGCTACTGCCCTCTCAGTGTGCCCCCCCCCATTGAGTCCCCCCCCCCCCGTTTCGTCGAGCTCGGGTCTCCTCCTCAACAACAACAAAAACGGGTTCTGATCGAACGTCCCGGCTGCGACCTTCGTAAAAATAAAAACCTCGCCGTCACAGCCACCGCGACGCCTCGTCCGCCCCAACCCCGGCTGTTGCGCGGGCCACTCTCGCTATCTCTCAGTCGACGGTGGTGGTGGTGGTGGTCACTCGGCCCCACGGGTCTCGCCACCCCACCCAACCCCGCAGCCGCGGTGGCGTGGATTTTGAATTTTCGCTCGTTTTGAGGTCAAACATTCTGCCGTGCGCTGCAACGCTCACCCGTATCCCGTACCGCCCCAGTACTCGTACCCCGTATCCCATATCCCGTATCCCAAATACCATATCCCGTATCCCATATCCCGTATCGTCACGTGGAACCCTAGCTCGGGGCTTGGACTGGAGCCCAGGCCGTCCGAGGCAGCGGGGCGAGCCGGCCACGTGATTCAAATTCATTCACCCTGAGAAGGCTGGAAGAGAGGGGGGGGGGACTAAAGGGTGGTGGGGGGGCTAAGAGGGACTAGGGGGGACACGAGGGGGGCCCGTTCGTCGTCCATAAACTAACCACCAACTAACCAGACCCTAGCCTTAACCACACCAGCCAGCCAGACCCTAGCACTAACCACACCAGCCAGCTAGACCCTAGCACTAACCACACCAGCCAGCCAGACCCTAGCACTAACCACACCAGCCAACCAGACCCTAGCACTAACCACACCAGCCAGCCAGACCCTAGCACTAACCACACCAGCCAGCCAGACCCTAGCACTAACCACACCAGCCAGCCAGACCCTAGCCTTAACCACACCAGCCAGCCAGACCCTAGCACTCACCACACCAGCCAGCCAGACCCTAGCACTAACCACACCAGCCAGCCAGACCCTAGCACTAACCACACCAGCCAGCCAGACCCTAGCACTAACCACACCAGCCAGCCAGACCCTAGCACTAACCACACCAGCCAGCCAGACCCTAGCCCTAACCACACCAGGCAGCCAGACCCTAGCACTAACCACACCAGCCAGCTAGACCCTAGCACTAACCACACCAGCCAGCCAGACCCTAGCACTAACCACACCAACTAACCAGACCCTAGCACTAACCACCCCAGCCAGCTAGACCCTAGCACTAACCACACCAGCCAGCCAGACCCTAGCACTAACCACACCAGCCAACCAGACCCTAGCACTAACCACACCAGCCAGCCAGACCCTAGCACTAACCACACCAGCCAGCCAGACCCTAGCACTAACCACACCAGCCATTGTTTCCCTCTTCATCTGCAATTCTCTTTTGCTACCCGCAGCTCCAGGTGGAAATATCTCTGTTTGTTTTGGTTTTAGTGATCTTTGAATGGGCATTGTGCCTGCGTGTGTAAACAGATGTGTGTGTGTGTGGGAGGGAGAGGTGGTGTAGCGGTTATCGCAGCTGCGCTACGAACCCGATGACCCGAGTTCAGTTCCCGCTCACGGCCAACACCGGTGACGATGATCTGAACCGGTTCTGGGCCTACCCCAGGTCGACTCAGCCTCAACATGAGTACCTGGTGTGGTGCGTGTAAACATCGCCACTGTCGAGACAAAGGCGACCGGGCGTGGTGTTGGCCAGCCACCCCCTCGTGTGCCGTGCCGGCCTTCGTTGGTGCTACTCGCGAAGAGCACTTGCCCCCACGGGGGATCTTTGTCGTCTGTGTGCGTGCCTCTGCCTATGGGCGATTTACATCCCTGCGTACTCAAAGCTATGCGGCAAAATATTTCACCGGGAGAATTCCTCGGGGATGGAACATCTCTCATTGGAAAAATGTGTCCGCGAAATTTGGAACCTGACTCCACACTCCTGGTTCCCCGCGCCAGCCGGCCCCCTGCCCCCCGCCCCCCACGGATAAGATGATTTGTGCATTGGGGCCGATTCGCCGGCATCGTCGAATCCGCCGATCGTAACTCTCCCACCGAGCGGAAAGCCAGCAACCAGTTTGGTCCCCCTGCAATTGGAATGTGGAAACTTTGCAACAGTGGGTTGAAGATGTCCGTCCGCAACCAGCAGATCCTTGGGGGGGGGGGTGGGCAAGGGACGGAGCTGCACTCCTCTTCCCCTCCATTCCCCCCCCTCTTGGACATCCATCCGCTCGCTCGTCCGCGCAGAGGTGAATATCGGCGCACCTCCTCCGACGTCGCCCGTCGCCTCTTCATCTTTTTAAAGTAAAAAAAAAAATAGATTGTCGAGCCATTGCCTCTGCCGCGCGTCGTTTGATTGGTTCCACCGCACGTCGCTCGTTTTGATTTTCTCTTTTTAAAAGTTTTTTTTTTACATTCAGCGAACTTTTAAATTGTCGGCCGCGAGGTCGCCGATTTTCCCGGCGCTGGCCGTCTTCGTTCCGACCGGCGAGAATGTCCCTCCATTTATCCGCTCGCTCGTCTGCCCGTTCGGCGTCAATCCGCTCTCCTTAGCTATGGTGGCGAGATGTTGACTCCCTCGCCTGGTATACAGGAGGCCGTGGGTTCGATTCTAACCCTGAAGCCTGCTGTATATTTGGAGTTTGTGTGTCTCTGTCTCTCTCCCCCCGTGGTCGCGTGGATTTTCCTCCGGGTCCTCCGCTCTCTCCCTTCACATTTTGAATAAACATCCGTCTAGAGTATTTGGCTGCTATAAATGTCCACGTGATAAGCCACTTCGTTGAACTATCATTTGTGGCCAGATGGCATCTAAAAAACAGCTGTATAGCTCAGTGGGCCTTACCTGGTATGAAAAAGGTTAAGTAATAGTTTATAGCCTCCTTCCGCTATTTCTGTTGCGTTCGTTTTGTTCCAAATCGCCGTCGCTTGCCGTTGTTTTGATTCGGTGTCTCTTGGGGTCTCGCCAGATGCCTCGCACCGGGGCCCCAACTCGCGATTACAAAATCCAGGCCTCGGTAACAGTGATCGGGCTCTATGCTACCCAAAACAAAGAAAACAACACAAAACAACACCCGGGATCTAGAACCCGGGATCTAGAACCCGGGTTTTAGAACCCGGGATCTAGAACCCAGGATCTAGAACCCGGGATCTAGAACCCGGGATCTAGATGCCAGGATCTAGAACCCAGGATTAGACCCCAGGGTCCAGAACCAGAGAAGCCGGAACCAAGAAGCACGGAATCCACAGGTGCTGGTGGTGGTGCCGGTGGCGGTGCCGGTGGCGGTGCTGGTGGCGGTGCTGGTGGCGGTGCCGGTGGTGGTGCCGGTGGCGGTGGTGGTGCCGGTGGCGGTGCCGGTGGCGGTGCCGGTGGCGAGCGTTCCCGGAGGCGTGGGGGGCCTCCGGGGCGCCGTCAGTCGTCGAAGATCTCGAGGAAGAGCGGAGGGAAGAGTTCGGCGGGGCACTCCACCTTCATGTGCAGCAGGCGGCTGGTGTGGCAGGCGCCGATCGTGCGCAGGTCGGTCACCTTCATGAGCAGCTTTGGCCAGAAGAAGGGCATGGCGTGGTGCCGCTGGTTGATGTAGTGCTCCAGCGCCAGCAGGTGCTCCTCCTGCGCCCGCTCCACCGCGTCCACACAGGTCAGGCCCGGCCGGTCTGCACGCACGGGCACACGCACGGGCACGAGCACGGGCACACGCACGGGCACACACATGAACACACACATGAATACACGCACGGGCACACGCACGAACACACACATGAACAAAGACAAAGACAAAGATCCCCCATATAGCCTTAACAGACTGTAGGGGCAAGTGCTGTTAGCGAGCACCTATGAAGGCCGGAACGGTACACGAGGGGGTGGATGGCCAGCACCACGCCCGACCGCCTTTGCCTCCCTAGTGGCAATGTTTACACACCGCACCAGGTACTCATTTGAGGCTGAGTCGACCTAGGGGAGGCCCGGGACCGGTTCAGATAATCGTCACTGGTGTTGGCCGTGAGCGGGAATCGAACCCGGGTCGCCAGGTTCATAGCGCAGCGCGCTGACCGCTACACTACCGCTCACGGGCACACACACACCTACAACAACAACAACAACCGCCATTCGCCACTAAGTGGCGGTGACGTCACCACGACGCTTGTGCCACACATGAACACACACACGGGCACACGCACGGCAACGTGCGTGGAGCGGGAGGCCTTCATAGGTGTTCGCTAACAGCACCTGCCCCAACAGGCTATACAGGGGATCTTTGTCTTTGTGTGCGAGGAGCGGTTAAGCGTGCTGCGCTATGAACCCGGCGAGCCGAGTTCAATTCCCACTCACGGCCAGCGCCAGTAACGAATGTCTGAACCGGTCCTGGGCCTCCCCTAGGTCGCCAACGCCACGTACGTATATATGTTGAACTTCTTTCGCACCATACGTAGTCAACCATGCCAATCATCACCGCCAGCACTACCACCGCCGCTGTCACCGTCAGTCAATCCATCGGTCAGTCGGCCTTACCGCACCTCCGATTAGCACGGTTGGCTACGTACGGTGCAAAAGAAGTTCAACGTACACACACACACACAACGTACCAACACCGCCACCACCGTCGCTATCCTGCCAGCGCCGCCGCCGCCGCCGCCGCTCACCAGAAGAGAGCAGCAGCACGGCCTGCATGAGGGCCACCTCGGTGTCGTCCATGTGGAACGCGGCGAGCGAGCGGCCCAGCTCGAAGATGGAGTCGGAGACGAGGCCGAGTCCACCGCTGCGGAGCTGCTCGCTCGTGACGGCCACCTCGCCGCTCAGCGTCAGCGTCTCGCTGCCCGCGTCGTAGCGCACGGCCGCCCGCAGCGACATGATCTCCATGCAGCAGCCCTTGAGCAGCACGATCTGGTCCTCGCACGGCAACTACGGTGGAGGTGGATGGAGAGGGGGCGGGGTGGGGGGGGGGGGGTGGGAGGGGGGAAGGTGGCGGAGGACGAGGTGGGGGGTTAGTAGGGGTTAGGGGACGAGGTGGCGGATGACGAGGTGGGGGGTTAGTAGGGGTTAGGGGACGAGGTGGGGGGTTAGTAGGGGTTAGGGGATGAGGTGGCGGATGACGAGGTGGGGGGTTAGTAGGGGTTAGGGGATGAGGTGGCGGATGACGAGGTGGGGGTTAGTAGGGGTTAGGGGACGAGGTGGCGGATGACGAGGTGGAGGGTTAGTAGGGGTTAGGGGACGAGGTGGGGGGTTAGTAGGGGTTAGGGGACGAGGTAGTGGAGGAGATGAGGAGGTGGAGGAGGCGAGGAGGAGCAGGGTTAGAGACAAGATCTCCATGCAGCAGCCCTTGAGGATCACGATCTGGTCCCTGAAGGGCAGCTAGGGGCGGAGGTGGTGGAGCAGGGTGAGTAGGTGTTAGGGGACCAGGTGGTGGAGCAGGGTGAGTAGGTGTTAGGGGACCAGGTGGTGGAGCAGGGTGAGTAGGTGTTAGGGGACCAGGTGGTGGAGCAGGGTGAGTAGGTGTTAGGGGACCAGGTGGTGGAGCAGGGTGAGTAGGTGTTAGGGGACCAGGTGGTGGAGCAGGGTGAGTAGGTGTTAGGGGACCAGGTGGTGGAGGACGTGGAGGAGGTGGAGGGGGGTTGGAGTTGTGATCTACACGTCTGTGCGTGTGTGAGCGTGTCCGTACGTGGGTACTTATGCGTGCGTGTGCCCGAGTGTACACGTGTGCGTGCGTACATGTGTGTGTGTGTGTGCCCGAGCGTACACGTGTGCGTGTGCACGCGCGTACACGTGTGCGTGTGCGTGCGCGTCTCCACCTCGCAGAACACGGGCAGCTTCTTGGCGAAGTCGACGACGCGGATGATGGCCGGGGTGATGATGCTGATGAAGTGGCAGAACGCCTTCACGTCCACGCGGTCGCCTCCCGCCACCACCTGCCCAATGTCTTCCGGCTGTGGGGCCACGGGGAGGGTGGGGGGGGGGATGGAAGGGGGGAGGAGGACAGAAAAACGGGGGTTGGGAGGGCAAATGGAGAGGGAGTGCGTGTGAGAGAAGGGACGGAACTTACCACTCTGTGCATATCACTGCATGTCTGTGTCACGTGCGTCTCTGTCTGCGTCTCTGTCTGCGTCTCTGTCTGCGTCTCCGTCTGCGTCTCTGTCTGCGTCTCTGCGTATGTCTCCGTCTGCGTCTCCGTCTGCGTCTCTCCGTGCATCTCTGCCTGCGTCTCCGCCTGCGTCTCCGCCTGCGTCTCCGCCTGCGTCTCCGCTTGCGTCTCCGCCTGCGTCTCCGCCTGCGTCTCCGCCTGCGTCTCTCCGTGCGTCTCCGCCTGCGTCTCCGCCTGCGTCTCTGCCTGCGTCTCCGCCTGCGTCTCCGCCTGCGTCTCCGCCTGCGTCTCTGCCTGCGTCTCCGCCTGCGTCTCCGCCCCTCACCAGGAACCGGCGGTGCTGCCTCCACAGGCTGCCCTCGGCGCTGGTGGCGCGGTGGGCGTCGGTGACGGCCTGCAGCAGCGCCCACTCGTGCCGCGTGGGGCCCGGACGCTCCCACGCGCCGCTCCGCTGCGTCTCTCCTCTCCGCCGGCGTTCGCGGTTCTCCGCGATCAGACGGCGCTTGGCAAGGCGCTTGCCTTCGTCCAGCACGACTAGACGGGGGGCAGCAGCAGGAGGAGGAGGAGGAGAGGCAGACCGGGGATGACGCTTAGCATCAGTGCCCGAGCTGGTGCTCTGGGATGGTGCTCTGGGATGGTGATCTGGGATAGTGATCTGGGATAGTGATCTGGGATGGTGCTCTGGGATGGTGCTCTGGGATGGTGATCTGGGATAGTGATCTGGGATGGCGATCTGGGATAGTTCACTGGGATAGTGCTCTGGGATGGTGCTCTGGGATGGTGACCTGGGATAGTGATTTGGGATGGTGATCTGGGATAGTGATCTGGGATAGTGATCTGGGATAGTGCTCTGGGATAGTTCACTGGGATAGTGACCTGGGATGGTGATCTGGGATAGTGATCTGGGATAGTTCACTGGGATAGTGATTTGGGATAGTGATCTGGGATGGTGATCTGGGATAGTGATCTGGGATAGTGCTCTGGGATAGTGATCTGGGATAGTTCTCTGGGATAGTGATATGGGATAGTTCTCTGGGATGGTGATCTGGGATAGTGATCTGGGATAGTTCTCTGGGATAGTGATCTGGGATAATTCTCTGGGATGGTGATCTGGGATAGTGATCTGGGATAGTTCTCTGGGATAGTGATCTGGGATAGTTCTCTGGGATAGTGATCTGGGATAGTTCTCTGGGATGGTGATTTGGGATAGTGATCTGGGATAGTTCTCTAGTATAGTGATCTGGGATAGTGATCAGGGATGGTTCTCTGGGATAGTGATCTGGGATAGTGATCTGGGATAGTTCTCTGGGATGGTGATCTGGGATGGTGATCTGGGATAGTTCTCTGGGATGGTGCTCTGGGATAGTGATCTGGCATAGTGATCTGGGACAGTGATCTGGGATAGTGCTCTGGGATAGTGATCTGGGATAGTTCTCTGGGATAGTGATCTGGTATAGTCATCTGGGATAGTGATCTGGGATGGTTCTCTGGGATAGTTCTCTGAGATGGTGATCTGGGATAGTGATCTGGGATAGTTCTCTGGGATAGTGATCTGGGTTAGTGATCTGGGATAGTTCTCTGGGATAGTGATCTGGGATAGTTCTCTGGGATAGTGATCTGGGATAGTGATCTGGGATAGTTATCCGGGATAGTGATCTGGGATAGTTCTCTGGGATAGTGATCTGGGATAGTTCTCTGGGATAGTTCTCTGGGATAGTGATCTGGGATAGTTCTCTGGGATAGTGATCTGGGATAGTTCTCTGGGATAGTGATCTGGGATAGTGATCTGGGATAGTGATCTGGGATAGTTATCTGGGATAGTGATCTGGGATAGTGATCTGGGATAGTGATCTGGGATAGTGATCTGGGATAGTACTCTGGGATAGTTCTCTGGGATAGTGATCTGGAATAGTTCTCTGGGATAGTTCTCTGGGATAGTGATCTGGGATAGTTCTCTGGGATAGTGATCTGGGATAGTGGTCTGGGATAGTTCTCTGGGATAGTGATCTGGGATCGTGATCTGGGATAGTGATCTGGGATGGTGTTTTGGGATGGTGATCTGGGATAGTGATCTGGGATAGTGATCTGGGATAGTGATCTGGGATAGTGATCTGGGATAGTGATCTGGGCTTGCGCCACGTGCTGGCGCTGCGTGCCAACGTACGGTCGGTGGCCATGCCCATGGCGAGGCACTTGTTGAAGCGACACTCCTGGCAGTGGTTGCGCGTGCCCTTGTCCACGAGGCAGACGCCCTCCAACTTGCACGCGTACAGCGGGTGCAGCTTCTTCTGGATCGTGCGGCGGAAGAAGCCCTGCTCGCGGACACGGACCAAGGCGCCCCATCGGTTAGCCTCCGCTCCAGCACTCTGGCCGCCAACGCGCTGGGCAACCTGGGGCTAACCCCGGTATCCACCGCCGTGCCACCCCAGGGGTCGACCTTGCCGGGTACACCCCCACCCCCCCTCCTCCTCTTTTGGGAGTGTGGGGATCTCCATACTTCTCTCCCTGTCGTGATCCTTCCTGAGGCTCGGCTGTTCCGGCTATGAATACTCTTCCCCCCCCCCACCACCCCACCACCAAGGGAGAGGGGAGTAGAGGCGAGTAGCGACGGGCGGCGGCGAGCGCAGCGCGCGAGGCAACCGAAGCCACTGCTGGATGCCCTCGCCCGTGACGTAGCGCCCGCCGAGGAACTGCCCCGCCTCGTCAATCGCCGCCGGCATCGTCGGCGGCGTCGGCCGCGAGCTCGATCCGAATGAAGCCCTCGATCCCCGAGCCAACGCCCGGCCGGCCACGACACCCCCGCAAGGCGCCTGCTCTCTCTCCGCCCTCGGTGGACGTCCGAGAAAGCGCGTTCCGTTTCTCGGCTGCTGCTCCGCGAGCCGTCTCGAAGCGTCGGCCGTCGACTTCCCCTTCTGGGCCGAGCGCCGTTCAATTTGTCTTTAACGTCTAGCAACCTGGCACGTCCTCATGGACGTGGTCGTCCGTCCGTCCCTACAGCCAGCAAAACTTTTGTCTTCCACTGAGATGGTTTACGAATCATCAACCGGCACAACAACAAAAACTTCCATCCGGTGCTGTTGCTGCGCTGGCAGCGGTCCACAAGAACGGTCGGTCGGCAGCTTAAGTCGACTCCACACTCGTCAACAACACCACCACCGTGTGTTGCCTTAAAAGGGAAAAAATATAGAACAGGCGACGTTTCGGGCAATGGCCCTTCTTCATAACACGTGGAGAGGTCACGTGCTTACTGATAGTGATGGGTGATGACGGAGAGTTATGATTGATGTCTGATCGTGACGATGGGTGACGTCTGATCGTGATGATGGGTGATGTCTGACAGTGATGACTGATAGTGATGGATGATGTCTGATCGTGAGGATGGGTGATAACTTGAATTTGGAGCTTAAGTTTGTGTCTCTGTGGTGTCTCTGCCTGTGTTTGTGCCTTGGTGTTAAGCACCTTGCTGCATGCTCCATGCTAATTTGTGTCCCATTGTCTCGCCGAGTATGTGCAGTTTCATGCTAATTTGTGTCCCATTGCATCTCAGCCCCGCCTTCTCTGTCGATTTAAGACCTTGACACAGAGATCACTGTGTGCTTGCCTCTCTCCATGCGTCTCTGTGCTAACTCGTTCTGCTTGGATGTCTATATATGTTTATGCGGTCTGTATATTTTTTTTAAATTTCACACTTAACTTGCAATTTAGCAATCTTTGAAATAGCGTAATCAACCAGACCATGCGTTAATTGTGTTTTGACCGACCCTCTGTGTTGCGTTATATGGTTTCCAAATTTTGCTAAACCTTGTTTGATTTAGTGTGCTCCCCCCGTCTATCTCTCTGTATCCCCTGTTGTATCTGTGTCTGTATATATATCTGCGGTTATGTCTCCTCTCTCTCGTAAATTTAGCTCTTCTGTACCTGATGATGATTGCTTGTGTTGCAATCGAAACGTCATACGCTATTATGTAATTTTATTATTTCTTATTTCTACGTGACTTTACCGAAAAAAACAAAGAAGAAGAATGATGTGTGATGTTTGATCGTGATGATGGGTGATGTTTAATTGTGATAATGGGTGATGTTTGATCGTGACGATGGGTGATGTTTGATCGTGATGATGGATGATGTCTGATCGTGATGATGGGTGATATTTGATCGTGATGATGGGTGATGTTTTATCGTGATGATGGGTGATGTTTGATCGTGATGATGGGTGATGTTTGATCGTGATAATGGGTGATGTTTGATCGTGATGATGAGTGATGTTTGATCGTGATGATGGGTGATGTCTGATCGTGATGATGGGTGATGTTTGATCGTGATGATGGGTGATGTTTGATGTTTGATCGTGATGATGGATGATGTCTGATCGTGATGATGGGTGATGTTTGATCGTGATGATGGGTGATGTTTGATCGTGATGATGGGTGATGTTTGATCGTGATGATGGGTGATGACTGATAGTGATGATGGGTGATGACTGACAGTGGTGACTGACAGTGATGATTGATAGTGATGACTGACAGTGATGACTGATAGTGATGACTGACAGTGATGACTGATAGTGTTGACTGACAGTGATGACTGACAGTGATGACTGACAGCAGCAGAGGGCAGCAGCAGAAAGGGCAGCAGCAGAAAGGGCAGCAGCAGAAAGGGCAGCCTCACTTTGCATCCCTCGCAGGTGATGCATCGGTAGTGGTAGCCCGTGGCCTTGTCTCCGCACACCACACATACCTCGTCCTTCTCCAGGTAGCTGGGGATGTAGACTGCAACACAAAGACGACGTCCACAGCAGAACACACGAAGAGACTTTTTTTTAAAAAAAAATTCGGGTTTTAAACAAGAAGAACAACAACAATACACTAAAATGTATCGGGAGCCGCGATGCACTGTGGGTCAATGCGAGGCTGGTGATGGGGCGGCGGGGGGGGGGGGTCCGTAAATAAATAAACAACACGATCGCGAAGGAAGTCCTTAAAGAGCTGACCCCCCCCTCCCCCACCTCTGCTGTAGCCACCTTACTAAGGCACCGAGTGTGTAAACATACATCGGCACCGGGGAGACAAAGGCGGCCCGGCGTGGTGTTGGCCGACCCGGCCACCGTTCGCGTGGCGTGCCCGCCTTCACGGGCTAGCTGCTCCCACTGCTGCTTGCTGGCTACCATTCAGGAGCTTCACACTGTGCCCTGTTCACCGTACCATTGTCTCGAGGAATCACACTGGGGGGTGGGTGACGGCGTCTTTGCAAGTGCGGCGCCTGAACTCTGGAACTCCTTGAACCTTCGAGGTCAGGGGACTTGACGAGACACTTTACAAATCTGCAAATCTCGACGACAAAAAAAACAAACTCATCCGTTTAAAGCGTCTTACGCTTTCTTTGAGTTCTCTTCAAAGCGTCGATCTCGCTTTTACTTTACACTGGTTGTTCTGAAGCCCTGTTCCGCCTCGCCGTGGCGGAGCGCCCCGAGAACGATTGTTTAAAGTTTTACACTTAAAACTTTCGTGACTGCAGGAATTCATATTCGTGGTTCTTTCGGTGAAGTCACGGAGATAGAAAATACAACTTAAATTAAATAAAAACAAAATATTAAAAGCAAAAAACACCCCCACGACGTTTCGATCGCAACACGAGCGGCCTTCAGCAGGTGGAGACCGCTTGTGTTGCAATCGAAACGACGTGGGCCTTTTGTTTTTATTTTTTAATTTACTTTTCAATTCTAATTATATTTTCTTCCTACGTACCTTTACCGAAAGAACCAAGAATATGATTGCTTAAAAGGGCGATTTATTTGTTACATTTAAATTAATTATTATTATTGCTATTATTAACAGCACTTGACCCCCCAACAGGTCAGCTCCGCATGGCTGGTTGGTGCTCAGCACTGCGGCCCCACCACCGTTGTGGCAGCTGCTCGGCGTCTTCGCCTCGAGCTTTTAAAGACGTAAAGAGGCGTCGTCCCTAATCGCTCTGGCCAATCTGTGTATATGCTCAGCAAAAAAAAAACAACGTTTAAAACCGGTTTTTTTTTTAAAACGTTTCTTCATTCTACGGTTACGCAGTTTTGTGCGCGTGCCAACGTTGTCCACTCACGTGTGCGTGCGTGAGTGACGGTACGTTGCGTGTGTAGCGTTAGGCGCTACACCTAGCTACGATCCCGGCGGCACAAGTTCGATCCCCGCTCACAGCCGACGCCGGTGACGATTATCTCTGAACCGGTCCCGGGCCTCCCCGAGGTCGACTCAGCCACTGGGGAGACAAAGGCGGCGGGCGCGCGATGCTGGCCACCCACCCACCCCATCGTGTGCCGTGCCGGCCTTCATCACAGGTGCTGCTACTCAGCACTTGCCCCAGAACGTCTGCGAATACCAAACAGGGGGTATTTGTGTGAGCACATGCGTGTGTATCAGTGCGAGTGTTTGTGCGCATACACCGCTGTAACTGGTCTACCGCTTCGAGAGAACATACTGTCCTCTCTTGTTCGGGTTATTGAGGGGAGAACCGGGGAGTAGGCGGGGGGGCTGCACTCATCCAGTTATCTCGGGGTTTATGGCAACGGGCAGGTAGAAGGGAACGATGATGATGATGGTGGTGGTGGTGTTGATGATCGGAAACAGGTGGATTGCTTCACTATTCCGGCAAATCGCCCGATGACGCTGGTTGATGTAGTTACCAGCGAAACGTCGTACTACTCAAATCGTTAATGTTGTGGATTTACTCTCCAACACACCGGTGGGCTGAAGTAGTCACTAATTGGCGCTTTGTTTACGTGACAAACCTTCCTGGCTGTGTCAGGTGGTGGAGGGTTACGACACATTTATACTTACGCGATCTAACCCAAAAACCTTTATTATGAATATTATTGGTCGCGAAAGCCTACGTGTTAAACTGAAAGTGGTGGTGTTGATGATGGTAGTGGTGATGTTGGTGGTGTTTATAATAGCGATGTTGGTGGAGTTGGTGATGGTGGTGTTGATGATGGTGGTTAGTCCAGCAAAAACAACCCCCGACCTCCTCGTGGTGCCGGGCGGCAACGCTGTGGTGGGCAGTGCCGTGGGGGGGAGGGCCAATTTAAATTGGCCTTTCCCCTCATGGTGTTTGTAACCACCCCAGCGGCCAAATGGGGGCTCTGGACGGGTGCGAGGGGCTGGTAACCCCTCCACCTTTAATTAATTACCACTAAACCATGACGGAAATGTTTAATTAATAAGCTTGTGCCGGAGGCCCCGGGAGGACAGGCGTCTATGACGTCTCCTGGCCAAACCCCATTTGGCGGAGCCAGGAGACTGAATCCTTACCCTCGGGGCTCCTCTAGAAACAACAAAAAAACCACTACGTGTGGCCACGTGGAATGTTCGAACACTCACTGCGGAGGAGAGCCTGCCACTCCTCTGTCGGGTGTTGGACCGGTACCGCCTGGATCTCTGAGGTATTCAGGAGGTCCGGTGGACCGGCTCTGGCTCCTGCCACCATGAGGGGTGGATAGTCCTCTTCTCGGGGCAGGAGACTGCCAAACAACAGGGAATAGCTCTTCTTCTTAACAAAATAATGAAGGGGGCATGGGAGCGTGGTGGTGAGATGTGGGAAGCTGTGCGCACCAGGCTACTTTGGGCTCGCCTTCCCATCAACCATAAGCGAGGAGTGGTGGTCGTGGTTACTTATGCCCCCACCGAAGACGAACATCCATGGAGGGATGCAGGCAAGGCCGATGAGTCAGATGCCTTCTATGACCTCCTGTCACAGGTGCTAGCTAAAGTGGCCCCTCGAGATAGAGTCATCTTGTTGGGTGACTTCAATGCCCGAGTTGGTCATGATGCTGGCACCTGGTGTGGAGTGATTGGAAGGCATGGGCCAGATCAGCTCAATGACAACGGCAGGAGGCTGCTAGATTTTTGTCCAGCCCATGGGCTTGTAATTACCAACACGCTGTTACAGCATCGGCACATCCAAACAACATCATGGATGCATGCCGGGTCCAAGCAAGAACATCTGCTAGACTACATAGTGACGGAACAGCAGATGTGGGCCCATGTCCTTGACACCAGGACATACCGTGGAACTGATCTGCCCACTGACCATCGACTTGTCATCTGTAAAATGCGCCTGCCATTCTTCCACTCCGGTGGTGGGTGTACACCCAGGACCCCATTCAAACCCTTAGTGGCATGGTCTCAGCTAGCTGATGAAAGTTGCAAGCGAGAATTGAACCATCGTTTGTGGCTCGGGTTGGCATCATCCTTCACTCCTCCTGATGTCGAGGGGAAATGGGCGAGGTTTAGGACTGGGGCTCATGCAGCTGCAATGGCTGCTTTGGGGACACGGTCCAGACCTCCCCAGAGACCCTAGCTGACAGAGGAGGTGTTCAAGCTGGCTGAGACAAAGCGACAGAACCACTCTCATCGGCTACAGCATCCCACGTCGGAGAATGAGGAGACTTACCGCAGCCTTCGCTCGGAGGTTCGGAGAGCTGTGAGGTGCTGCAAGGATGGGTGGTGGTCGCGGGTTGCTGAGGAGATGGAGTCTGCCTCAATAGCCCGCGATCACAAACGCCTGTATAAATCCATCAAAAAAGTAACCTGCAGCGCCACGCCTATTACCATCATTACGGGGAAGAACGGTGATCTAATCTCCGACCCCCAGGAACAGGTTTGCAGATTTGCTGATCATTTCTGGGAGGTCCTGGGGGAGAGGAAATCCCTCAGCCTGGAAAACATCGTGGGACAAAGTGGGGGTAACCCTGCCAAGGCTGCGATGCCTCAAATATTGGAAGAAGTCACCCCCTGAGAGTGGCTGGCTGAGGTGCCATCTGTTGAAGTACTGAAGGGGATCCAGAGTCTGAGACCAGGAAAGGCACCGGGCAGAGATTATCTCCCAAGAGAAATGCTGAGGGAGGGTGGCGTTTGTGCACAGACTGCCCTACATGACATCATAACAGTCTAGACCACTGGATGGGTTCCGTAGGATTGGAAGGATGCCCTGGTGGTCCCCCTCTATAAGAAGAAGGACCGCACAGACTGTAACAACTACAGGGGCATCTCACTCCTCAGTGTGCCGGGAAAGGTCCTGGCAAGGATCATTCAACATCGCCTTGCTAGGCACGCTGAGGAGAGGCTTGTGGAGCCCCAATGTGGTTTCAGGAAAGGGCGGTACTGCACAGATGACTTATTTTCTGTCCATCTGCTACAGCAGAGGTGTAGGGAATTCCCACAAGACCTACATCTCTGCTTTGTTGACCTGTTCAAGGCCTATGATACCATCAGTAGGCCTGGGCTCTGGGTTGTTCTTCATGTTTTTGGAGTCCCTGACCCTCTGCTCACGATCATTAAGGACCTTCATAATGATGAGCGGGCTCGGGTAAAACTACGTGGCCGGGAGTCGGAGCCATTCCCTGTTCACCTTGGGGTGCGACAGGGATGTCCTCTGGCTCCCACATTATTTTACATCTATTTTGATCACGTAGTTCATGAAGCCTTCAATAACTTTACCGGAGGAATTTCCATCTGGCACAGATACAATGGGAGGCTGATCGATGCCCGGGTGCGGTCAAGGGATGATGGCTCCCTATTGCTCAACCATGCTATGTATGCCGATGATCTGGTAATTGCTGCTCACTCAGAGGAGGAATTGGAGGCGCTGCTGCTGAACCTGGAGCTTACCACAAAGAGGTGGGGCCTTACCATCAGCTCCACCAAAACTAAGCACCTGCCTGGGTATTTCGTACCAACGAACACTCCACCCCCACAACTCCCAATTGGTGATAGGGAGTTGT